CGTGAGCCCCCCCCGCACCCCCCCAACCAGCCACTCACAGGGTCTTCTCGGAACCTCTCATGGCCAAGGGTATCCATCAGGACGGCTCACCCCCACCCACCTTGAGATGGTGAGGAGCCCACGGACAGCCTCCACCTTGTTTGATGAAACACTGGAACAGGTTGCCTGGAGAGGGGGGACATGCCCCATCCTTGGAATCATTCAAGGACAGGTTGGATGAGGCTCTGAGCAACCTGGTCTAGTTGAAGATGTCCCTGCTCATTGCAGGGATGTTGTACTAGATGAGCTTTGAAGGTTCCTTCCCACCCAAGCTATTCTATGATTCTGTGATTGATCCAGAGGTGGTGAGGCTGCTACTGCCTTTTTCCGGTTGCAGGGGGCGGGAGCGTGTGTGCGGCCTGGCTTGTCCGGCTTCCACAGCCTTGCCTGGCCAAGATGAAGGGAAATGTTGGCATGGGCAGCAATGGGAGAACAGTTTGGCTTCCTGAGAGGGACAGGGTATCTCTGAGCATCTCCCACTTAATTGTGGATGTGTATTCAACCTCCTTTCCTTCCAACAGCCCCAGAGACCCCTTGGGGACTTTACTTCTTCCATGACTGGGAGTAGATCCAGCATCTTCTCTCCGGAGCTTCCAGAAATGAGACTGTCTCCTCAACCAGAGCCCCCCAGACAGCCACTGCGGAGGACACCATCAGCCAGTATGACCCATGTCCAGCAGGGGTTGGACCTCTCTGGGAACAGGGCTGGGGAGGGACCACCACTCTAGCAGACTAACAGTCTTCAGCCACATTCCTTGGCATGGTGAAAAGGCAGTGCATATGGGAGCTGGGAGGGCAAGGCTGAATGAGGCAGATGGTGAGCTCAGCATTCAGGACAAGGCCAGCACTCCTGGCTGGCTGTGTGAAGTGGGAAACCCACAGATGTGCAATTTCCAAGGCCCCTTGAACCGTGAGGGCTGATTCCTACTGAAGTTTCCACTTTAGTAAAGCACCTTCAGTCATGCTGCCACATTAAATATCAGCCTGCCCTACAACCCAGCCACTTACCTCATGTCTCACCTGCTTATTCTTCCTGAAGAACTTCAGCTTAAAATGCTCTAAAAAAACCCAGAAAAAGACAGAGGGAGAGAAAACTTATCCAAACACTCAGTTGTACTAGCAGGGTCAGGAAAAGGGCCATCAGCCAGAGCATCAGCTAGGGCATGCAGTGTGTATGTGATGGACATTTGGCCAAGGGAAACAGTGCAAAGCTTGAGTTTCAGCTTGAGTTGATTTTCCTCCTGCAAGATGAATGTTTTCCCATGCTTTTCCCATGCCGTGCCCTGTTTTCTCCCTGCAGAGAAAGGCCATCTACTCCTCCTCTAGACCAGTTGCTTCACTGGGGAAGCACTGGTGCCTTTGAGGCTGCGTGGGTCTTGCAGGAAGATGCCAGGCTCCAGCCGCACCTCTCTCTAATGCCTCCCCACAGGTTTGCTCCCGACCGGCCGCACTTCCCGGTCAGGTTCCTTTGGCGAGGCCAGTGGCAGCGGCAGTGAAGGCAGGAGGAAGAGTGGCACGGCGAGAGTACAGGCTATCGTGCCCCACACAACTGGTGTCAACCGGACCCTGCTGCGGTTCGACACTGGGGATGTCATCACGGTGCTGATGCCGGAGGCGCAGAACGGCTGGCTCTATGGCAAGCTGGAGGGCTCATCCACGTATGTGGCTTTGGTGCATGACCCCAAATCATCTCTCCCCTCCCCTCCTGGTGCGGTCTATGTGTTGCCTCATACGCTGTATGTGTGGGACTTCACTGTGTCCTCAGTCATGGGGACCCTCCAAGCCAAGGACATGCGGTGGGGCAGGGATGAGCTGTCTGAGGAAGCCCCAGGGACTTTGGGTTGAAGAGCCAGGGGCGCAGTGACCCTCTCCTGGCTTGCATGGCTGAATGACTCCTGTCATGGGATCCAGCCCAGGGCCGTGAACTGCTGCAGTTACCTGAGAGGCCTGGCGTTTCTCAGCTCACACTGCAACTGCTGCCGCAGCCTCCAGCACAGGCAGGGCATGGAAACTGCTGCGCCCTCCGCTTACTGGATTACTCCCTATGGCACTGCCGCCCAGCACCTGCACGCAAAGCCTGCCCTGTT